AGTTGATTTTACACATGATATCAAGAATTTATTGCAAGAACTCAATCGACAATTATACATGATTTTGTACGAAAAATTCGTATATAAATTTAACGAGATAACGACTTTAACAAAGTTTCCAAGTCATTGGACTCACACGGCTAAACTATTTTTACCATCGAGAACTTGGGAAAACGTTTATACAATTACCTCTAAAAAATGGAATTTCACACCTAAGAACTTGGTAGGAATAATGAAAACATCCAATATAAGACACTCGAGGCCTTGGTAGGCTAGCCGGCGGCCATCCAAATTGTTGTGGGCAGGCTGGCCACATCATGGAGATTTTCTGCTTGACTTGGGCGGCCGCCACCGTGTTTTACAGAACAGGAGCTTCACTCGTTCAAGTTCAACTCATTTTTTGGCCTCTTTTCATACGAATTCAATTATGTTACTTATGTTTTAAATAATTGTGACTCTTATGGGTAGTTGTGTCTCTTGGTAATGCATTGTTTCGCCATCTATAAATAAGATTGGTGATTAATTTGTTGATTGAGAGACACTTGAGAATCATATTGATATGATGCCTAAGAATGTTTCGCCATCTATAATTTTCTTATATTAAATTTGTTTATACTTTGTCATTATAGAAGACGTTGTATAGATCTCAAGTATAGATATTTTTTATCATTGGTATTCGGGTTGTTTACGTGTGATGCTACCAAAAATTGCACATGGTCAATTCTGAGTTTGACGACTGATAACTTGCATGAACGTGATCTTTCGATACCCGAAACAAAGGCGTCGAGGGGTGTCGTCGTAGCCCATTCGATGCTTAAGTCAGAAAGGGAATAGAGAGAGAATATATATGCTGAAAATATTTGTAAGAAAGTACCTTAATAATGATATGATGTTCCATAGTTATAGAAGTAGGTGGTGCATTCCTGGTGGGACTCGTCACCTTATTTTTATTTAGGAATGTCTTATGGAAAGATTAGTGTTGGATTAAAACTAGAAGTCTTAATTTTCCATGCGTTGCAAGATAGAATCCTTATAGATTCAGAACTCTTAATTTATGTCGATTGGATAGGGTTCATGCTCTTTCGGGGTAAGAGCTAGCAATGTTTGAATAGTGTGAGAATTTGGTAAAGGCAAAATCCCGAGCACGCACACCCGACGAGTGCATAAGAATTTTTTTTACTCTTATTTATTTTGTGCATAAGAATTCAAGGAGAACATGTCAAAAATAGTAAACAAATTAAAAGAAATGAACCACTTTTTCAATTCTATGTTAATTTGCAAAGAATGTCATCGACTGGCATACAAAACTAGTTGATTTTACACTTGATATCAAGAATTTACTGCAAGAACTCAATCGACAATTATACATGATTTTGTACGAAAAATTCGTATATAAATTTAATGAGATAGCGACGTTAACAAAGTTTCCAAGTCATTGGACTCACACGGCTAAACTATTTTTACCATCGAGAACTTGGGAAAACGTTTATCCAATTACCTCTAAAAAGGGGAATTTTATAACAATCGTAATCCTCATACTTTTGATTTCACACCTAAGATATCGTTTCAACTTGAAAAGTGAGGTCAATGTCTGAGTTTTACCGCCCAAATGATTCCTTAAAGTCATGTAATCTATGTTAAATGTCAATATATAATTAATTAATAAGATGACAATAACTGTACTAACTCAATGGATAAGTTTGAAAGTATACCAAATCAAAAAAGGCCTTTTCCATTTTCAGTTGGAATCCTAAGTTACAAACCGTGAATTTAAGTGCCGTCCCACTTATTAATATGCGATTAGGTACATAGAGATGCCCAACTTACTAATTGAGGTCAAATTTAATTATTTCTAGTATGAATACTTTTTAATTTCTTTGCACAGTTGAGGGAGGCCCCTTGAAGAAGTCACAAGGGTCACAATGCGCCAAATATATAGGGCATGGACCATTTCTAATTTAATGGTTTATTTATTGCATTGCAATTAGCATTTACTTTGACAGCCACTAGCCTCCTCTTCTTTGTAGAGCCAATCTGAAGTTCGAACTAACCATTAAATTTCTTTTATGACAATTTAAATAAAGAAATCGAATGTTCGGTCGATAAGCCTCTTACTATTTTATTCTCAACTTTCAAATTTGAATTATTAAATATTCATTCAGATATGCATGTTTGCGAAGTGTTCATAAAGGAAATGAGCAGTGAATAAATGAATACAACCGCTATTATTCGGAGTCAAAATTTAGACGGCTATAATTAGTCAAAGTTGCATTTAGTAGTAGTTAATACTTTGTGTAATAATTGACGAAAGACGTGTTTCCACAAGCAATTAGATGTTTATTTATTTGACTTAATTGAACCATATACTTCTTTTAAATGTATTTCGAGTATTAGGAAGTTGTCATTCAACTGAATGCACGTGAATGGTTGAGTCTTCAAAACTACTTATTTGACTTAATTGTCCCACGTACTTTTCTACTAGTATTCTTTCTTTCAAGCTATGGTGTAAGGGATTTTCTTGTCAGAATATTTTCGATTTTTAATATTATTCAATGTGTAAAAGGGTTGGTAGGAATAATGAAAACGTCCGATATAAGACACTCGAGGCCTTGGTAGGCTAGCCGGCGGCCATCCAAATTGTTGTGGGGAGGCTGGCCACATCATGGAGGTTTTCTGCATGCCTTGGGTGGCCGCCACCGGGTTTTACAGAACAGGAGCTTCACCCGTTCAAGTTCAACTCATTTTTTTGCCTCGTTTCATACGAATTCAATTATGTTACTTAGGTTTTAAATAATTGTGACTCTTATGGGTAGTTGTGTCTCTTGGTAATGCATTGTTTCGCCATCTATGAATAAGATTGGTGATTAATTTGTTGATTGAGAGACACTTGAGAATCATATCGATATGATGCCTCAGAATGTTTCGCCATCTATAATTTTCTTATATTAAATTTGTTTATACTTTGTCATTATAGAAGACGACGTATAGATCTCAAGTATAGATATTTTTTATCATTGGTATTCGGGTTGTCTACGTGGATGCACAACGTAGAAAAGATGTGACTTCATTGTATCCGGAAGCATACTTGTGTCTCGGGTGCATCACTCGATTGGTGGGAGCAAATAAATTCAAGAAAAGTGCAAACACGTGCCTTCGAGTTGAGTTCTTAATTTTTAGAGTTTGTTTGGGTTGTTCGAGTATCGACAATATTCTTCATCTACTACTTCTTTCTTGTAGTTTTGAAGACTTTCATGATGCTACTTGGAGTTGGAGATATTACACGAACATTTGTAGAAAATGCACACAAAAGAATGACTAATAATAAAAAAAGGAAAGACAGAAATTTCAATTGTACTACATGTATGTCACAGTTTGCAGATTTGTTTATGATGTGCGCGAGATTTGATTGAATCAAAGTCTCAACAACAAATAATAGTAATAAAATAACTTCTCACTTTCTTTTTTGACGTCTCATCAATTTGTAATATATTATGTAAACGATGATAAACAATAAGCATTTTTCCAGAAATTTTATGTAGAGTCGTATGCTAATGTATAAATGTATTGAATTCATAGATGCGTCTAATTTTTACTGTTTGATATTATTCTGAAATATTTATATGTACTCAATTTTTAATGAGAACTGTGCAACATATCAATAAATATGAAAAATCATCATAAACTTTATTTAAACTAATTTTACGACATTGATTTAACTTCACAAAATAAAATAATATAGCAAAAAAAAAAAAATTAATTATCTTTTCCAGCCCAGCCCAGCCTAGCCCACCATACACAACCCCTCCGGCTACCATCACCATCATCATCACCACCTCCATATTGCAGCCACATCCGCCACCACTCCGCTATCTTAATCGGGGAATTTTTTTCCCCCAATTCATTGGTCAAATGGAGGATTTCTCTCCCCTGAATCAGTGAATTCGAAGGGCATCGATGGCCGTGGAGGCGGTGGGGTGGGGAAGATTATTAGCATTTTTTTTAAAATTATATTATATAAATCATATTATTTTAAGTCGAGCATGATAATATTTGTCGAATCTATTTGTACATTTCAATGGATTCAGAAGTACTATTCACATATTCACCACACATTTATATCTATTCATAAATTATTCCCAAATCGAGACTTAGCTCATATTTGATTTGATAAAAGTTGATAAAATGTATAATTGAAAAATAAATGAAAGTTGTGGGTCATATGAAATATTTAATTAAAAATAAATGGATTTTAGAAAATTGAGGTGAATGATAAACTTTAGTGGAAAAAAAAATGCAGTGAAATAAATGTGGTGAAGTAATAGTTGAAAAGATATGAAGAGAAACATTTGCAGATGGTCCCCATTTATCAACTACGTGCATAAATTGCATCAAAGTGTGTAGAGATTCAGAAAACAAGAAAAGCTGCTTATTTTTCACAAACAGAATATAAGTACTAATCACTAACATATGTACCCATTGGATGCGTGTAGACATAGACTCCGTTTGGCCATCATTATTTGAAATTATAATTTTTTAAAAAAGTGTTTTTTAAAAAATGTGTGATTAAAAAAGAAAAAAAATTTAAATTTAAGTGTAAAAAAAAATGGATTATAATTTTAATGTGAGTCAAACGGGCTTACGGAGTGAGAGTCACATTTTAGAAGAGCGAGCTTGCATTGGATCCTTCACCAAATAGTACTGTTTGAAAACCTCTTCTATCATCATTAACATTTCTCTTTCTCTCTCTACTTCTTGCTTCAAAAGCGCATAGAAAAGCTCCAGAAAATTTAGTGAAAATAATCAATTAAAGAAAAAGAAAAGATGTGATCTGATGATTACATTTCATGTAGTATTTCTCTAACAACCCACAATTTTCTCCTCTTGACTCCCTCAAACCCCCAACCCACCCCCACCTCTTCATGTCATATGCTAGATGTTGAGCAGTTTTCATACTTGAGAATGTCAAGTACAGATTTTTTTCTCATCAAAGAAGAGCAAAAGGAGATTAAATTTGATATTCTTTCAGAACCTAAGGTCGAAGATTCATGTTCTACACAAGATATTGTAACAAAACAAGAAGATGATGATACTGATCATAAAGAGGAAGAAATTGAGGTAACATTTTCTTCAAGAGAATATGAAAAGCCATGTTTAGCAGAGTCCGAGGTAGGAGAATACGATGAAGGGTTCAAAACTCCGACATCTTTGGTTCACAAAATCCCAGTGGTTACTCAGTGCCCGGCAGCACCAAGAAAAACCAGACCATCAAAAAAGAGAAAGTCATCGCCAGCAAGAATTCGTAGGAGCCTCCAGCTCGATGTGTCGGCCGAGATCGAATCACTGTTCCCTTCAAGGCCTCGAGATTGTAATGAACACAAAATCAAGAAAGCTCGAAGAGATGGTGCAGAATAAATGTTTACCACCTACACCTAGAGCCTGGAGGCTAGGGCTACCTCTCTATATAGTAAGAAAATTTATTGTAAAAATAAATGATGTTCTTTATCGTAATGCTGATGGTGTTCTTCACTATATTGAAAATTTAAACGTATTTTTATTGAAAAAGACAATCGTGAAATTTAGTTTTCTTGTAGTTATATATCTGGAAATTCTCGATGTTGGATTAATGTTTTAATGCATTTTAATTGATGCAGAGATAGATTATTTCAAAATATTAGAGACGTTAGAGTAGCTACTAGCCAGTAAAGTCTATGGAGAAAATAAGCGAAAGAGATATGATTCGGACATTCAACTTTATTGCTTCCATTTCTTTTGTAATCAAGGTGTTACGTTTGTGAAAAAAAGAGAATATATTCTCAGTTACATGGAATTTTCCAAAAAAAAAATTCATTTTCGAATTTATTCTGGAAAATAATATGTTTGTGTATAATATACAAGATTCTCTGGATTTTTTTTCTTTTTT